ACACCCCCCCTTACCTGCTTCAGGCTTCCCACGAATCAAATGTTCGCGGGAAGCAGGGGAGGGGGCGGAGTGGGGGCGGGGACTTTGGGAAAGGTGCGGATTTGGGGCATGGGCGGGGCTGGGGGCGGGGCCGGGGCCCTGTGGAGTGTCCTCCTTTTGGAGGCTCAAAATATGGTAACCCTAGGTCAGATGAGACAATCACAGGCATCCCTTTGGGCCTTATAATCTATGCAAGAGGTCCCCAAACTGTGGGGCATGCCCCCCTCAGCTCCTGGCCCTGGCCTCCTAGCAGCTCCATTCCCAGCCCCAGCCCTGTGGCTCTGTCCCCGGCCCCGCTCCTGGCCCCAGACCCACCCCCAGCTGCGGCCCCAGCCTCGGCCCCCTGTCCACATCGTCGTCCCCTGCAGCTGCGGCCCTGCTCCTGGACCTGGCTCTGGGGAGGCGGGGGTGGTGGTGGACAAGGGTAAGGGGGGGGCGTGACCCTCAAAAGTTTGGGGACCACTGATCTATGCATATCCTGCTGCAACAAATCAAACTAGCTCTGTACCCCTCATCCTTCCACATTCGGTGAGTTCACTCGCCAATGGCCCATCTACCCCACCTCCTCCCATACCAGATCACTCAGACCAGTCTGTACTGATGTATTACTCAGGCTTTATTTCCAGCCAGCCCCCTCGTACAAACATTCAATGTCAAATTACCCCAGCAAGCAGCTCGTCTGCCCTGTCTGGGGCTCAGAGACGGCCTGGGCGGGGCTGCGTTGCTCCTCACGTGTTCTTTCTGCAGGCCGAGCGCCCGACGGGATTCCCGATTCCCCCCGCTCCGCGAAGCAGAACAAATTAAGGCTCTTTCACCAACCTTGTGTCAATATCGTTATCCCAGACGGGGAAGATGGGGAACAGGGAGGCGATGGGAGATTCTCACAGTGGGTCAGGGGCAGATCTGGGAATGGGACCCAGGTGTCCTGGGCACTAGCCACAAGACCATTGTTTCCTCCTTTGTCCCAACCTTTCTCTCATCTATTGTATTCTCCCCTGATCCCCCCTTCCCCAAGAGCCAGGCTCCCCCTCTCTCCTTCCTCTGGACCTGCCACCTCCAGCAGCCCTCACCTGTCACATCATGGACACCCCCTGGGAGTGGAATGGGCTGGCCCCCTCTACCCTGCAAGGGAGCAGTGGAGGAGGGGGAGCCATGGCCATCCTACATCCTTTCTCGTAGCCAGGAGGAGGAGCTCAGCGGGCCTGCAGCCCAGCTCCCAGAGTCACTGCAGCTGGTGCAGGGGCTAACATGGGACTGTCACTCCAGCTGAGTGACACCTAGCAGGTGCCTGCGTCCCCGGGCAACTCCCTGTGGAGAGGCGGCTGGCACAGAGCCCCGAGGATCAGCAAACCCTGGCATCGCACCATCGGCCTGCAGACAGAGGCAGCGCAGAGGCCTGGGAGCTGGGTTTTAGTCCTGGGTGGGTCCCTTCCCCCGCCCCCTCCATGCCTCAGTTTCCCCTGCTGTGAAATGAGGGAGATGGGGGATTTGTGAGTGCAGAGTATTATCATAAACGCCAGGCTTCTGCTGAGCAAGATCCTCCCATAACCCACTCCCAGAGGTAAGGAGAAAGGGCCAACCCTTTAGTGCCCCACGGTCTCCTCGAGGAGTCACCTGACAGGTGGTACCATCGCAAGCCAGCTGGCGTTCCCAGGCCGTAGCCCGGTCTCGACCCACTCTAAAGTCTGTGGGGAATAGAAGAGTCTGAACCTGACGCCCCAATGCCACTATTTGTCCCCCCGCCCAGCTCCCCATGGCCAAGATCTGCACCCCCCATTAAAAGCTTCGAGGGGCAGTGTGGGCTAGTGGATAGTCCACCGGACTAGGACTCGGGAGACCCCGCTTCTATTCCTGGCTCTGCTGGGTGACCTTTGGCAAGTCACTTTGCTGCTCAGTGCCTCAGTTTCCACTCACAAATATTGACTGTTATTGTGAGCTCTTTGGGGCAGGGAGCCAGGGGGGCAAGTGGGGCAATTTGCCCTGGGCCCCACAGGGGCCCTGCGAGCCCTGGCCGAGAATCCCTTCCCTGGCTAGAGGCGCCTTTTTAATTTTTACTCACCCAGCGGCGCTCCGGGTCTTCGGCGGCATTTTGGTGGCGGGTCCTTCAGTACTGCCGAAGACGCGGAGCGAGTGAAGGACCCGCCGCCGCCGCAGACTCGGAGCGCCGTCCGGTGAGTACAAGCGCCGCAGCGGGTGGTGCCTTTTTTTATGTCCACTCCCCCGCTTTGCCCCAGGGCCCCTGAATCCTCTGGGCGGCCCTGCAGGGAGCATTTGGTCCTGCTATCCACCGTGTAAACAACATAGCCCAGGCCCAGGACAGTGTGCATGTGTGTGCATGGAAGGTGTATACCTGTGTATGCCCATCAGTGGGTGAGTGGCTGAGGGCATATGCCCTGTGTGTGTATGTGTCTTGGGGGAGGGTGTGTGTCTGGTCTGTATGCCTATGGGGGGCGGGGGGTGGAATAGAGGTGCATGCCATCTGTGTGGGGCGGAGGGTTAAGGAGATGCATGTCCATGAAGGGGATGGGGGGTAACTTAAGGGCTGCACACCCACCCATCTGTGTGGGGCTGGAATATCTGTGTGGGACTGGTGTGACCACATGAGGGCTGTGCTCCTAGCCTGGGGGCAGATGGGGGGCATGGCCAAAGCACACTGCATTATGGGTATTCTCTCCTCCCGGAGCCCCTAGGAGCAGAGGGCAAGTTAGAGCAGCCCTGAGGCTGCTCCGACACGAAGGGGTTGGGACTGATCCCAGAATACAGGGCACACAATTTATTGATCACAAGCAGCCAACCAAACAGAAATGGGGCTCGATCCCTTGATCTGGGGAACAAACCCATGGCCACAACCATGCAGACATGGCTTCTGGCCAAGCCGCCTGCACCCCACTCACCCGCTGGATGCCGTGCGGCGTACACCCCTCCTGCCTGCCGGGGGTATGGACAAGACCTGTGTCAGCTCCATAAGGGGCCAATCGGTTCACACTTGCGCTCAGGCAGCTCTGATCCCATCCAGCAGGGGGCAGCGGCAGGTTCGAATCCGGCCCAGGTGGGGGTGGTCGGCTGGGCAGCAGCCCAGCCGTGTTTATAAACTGTGCCGGCAAAAGCTGGGGTGACACAGGCGTGGCACCATCCCTGCCCCCAGAGTTCCTCTCCCTCCGTCAGTGCCAACCCGAGGCCCAAGGAGCATTCCCAGGCACTGTGGCCTGGTGGCGGGTGAGAATGGGGGCAGCACCCCTTGCCAGCTCAGCACACCCCCGCCGGCAACTCGGCTCCCAGGGACTGGAGCCGCTGGCGGGCGCACTCAGCCGTCAGCCGGGCCTCGGGGTCGGGGTCCCAGCAGTCCTCCAGCAGCTCCCGCAGGCAGATGGCGACCTAGGAGAGAGGGGTCTCTCAGGGTGTAGGTGGCTTCGGACCCCAGGCTGGCTGAGGGGTCACCCTGAGAGAGAACCTGCTGCAGCAGAGACAAGACCCTCACCCCCACCCTGCTCACCTGTGGGGCTCAGGCCAGGGTTGTAAAGCCCCCAGGGAATATAATAAAATCTGGGGGGTCGCCAAAGGGTCTCACTACATAGATGTATTTACCGCTGGCCCTTTAAACCAACAGCAGAGCTAGCTGCGTCTTTCCTCCCCTCCACTGCTCCTTTATCCCTTCCCCCTAGTGTCCCCCCAAACCCCTTTACCTGGCCTGTCCCCCTCCAGGAGTCGGGGATGGCTGGCCTCCTCCTCTCCTCCACGGCCAGTCTCCTCAGCTCCCCATACGTGGGACTGCTGCCCAGCTCCGCCTCGTAGGCCAGCTGGAAGGGAGGGACCCCGCAGTCTAGGGGAGGAGAGAGTGGGACAGGTGGGGGTCAAACAGCCATGGCTTCCATCCAGCCCAGCCCCTAAGATGACCTGGGTACCAGCGACTGGCTCAGTGCGTGGGCGCGTGTCGCCTTCAAGTGGCCAGCAGAGCAGATAAAAGTCCAACTACTGCTGCTGGCTAATGGGGATTCCCCTTGGATCCAAGAGACCTGATTCTCGGCACACTCAGGCTGCACTGACAGAACAGTGGGGATATGTGGCCCCCTGGAGAGTCTCCCCCCAGGCAGCAGGCTCCCCAGTTGGTGTGGGGCTGGCGTGACCACGTAAGGGCTCTGCTCCTAGCCCCAGTGCAGGGGGCAGAGCAGGGCATGGTCAAAGCACACTGCATTATGGGTATTCCCTGCCTCCCGGGGCCCATTGGAGCAGAGGGTAAGTTAGAACAGCCCTGAGGCTGCTCCGACACCAGAGGTGTGGGACTGGGCCCAGAATACGAGGAGCACAAACTTGTCCCTGCCCCCCCCCCCAGCCCAGGAAGGGGGTAAACGAGAATCAGCCCCCCTGGATTTGGAGTGTATGGAGCTGCAACTCTGGCCCCAGGGCCCCCTCCCTCCTGGGCAGCTTGGCTCACTGCTCCTAGGAATCAGCCCGTAAGCAATACCCCTTTTCCCCTTCCCACGCCAGCCGGGGGCAGGCATCCTCCCCAGGGGCTGAGCTCCCAGACACCTCCCCAGGGCAGGGACCACTGTGCAGCGCAGAAGGTCCAGTGACAGGTGAGGATGTGTGTGTGGGGGGTGAGAATTTGCATGTTATTTCTCCAAACGTCCACCAGGTGGCAGCCTTTCCAGCACTTTATTTGTCTGTGCTGCCACCAGGGAGAGGGGGAGGCTCTTGATTTGATAGTGCAGTGGGGGGGGGGGGGGGGGGCAGGTACAGCAGGGGGGAGAGAAATTCTTGGCGCGGGGGGTGTTGAGGCTTTCTAGGGATGGGGGCTGCATACAGCAGCACGGCCATGGCTGGGGGAAGTGGGCTGAGCAATGGTTAAGGTGGGGGGCATGAGGAGCCATGGGGTGCAGAAAGGGACCAGTGCAGGCCTGGGGGATGGGCTCCAAGCCTGGATCCTGCCTGGCATGGCCTACCTGGGGTCCAGGGGGTCACGCCCAGCGCCGAGCCCTACAGCCGCTCACCTGGGGAGAGCCCCGAGCATCTCGACAGGATCTCCCAGAGCACCAGGGCCAGGGAGTAGATGTCGGCCTGCTTCAGCGCGCGGCCCCAGACCTGCAGGTCCAGGCTGTCATCCAGGATCTCGGGGGCCATGTACCGCTGGGTCCCTGCCTGGGATCAGGCAGGCAGGTCAGCGCCAGCCACCGACCACCAGCCGTTCACGTGCCACGCGAGGGTGAGCTTCCCCATGCTAGTGCAACCGTCTGCATGTGCCAGGGCTGAAGTTCCCATGCGTGTACCCGTGAACAGGGCTGATTCATACCAAATGGGGCTCCCAGCCTCCCCCCAAACAGCCTCCTTTCCACGGGCTCCCCTACCTCGCCCCCCCACCTCAATGCTCAATCACGTTCTGACACGCTCACATGTGATCACACACATCCCCCCGTGCGCTCATATACCGGGGAGCTCAGACTCCCCCAGCCTCCACCTTCGCCACCCCATTAAAACTTCCCCTCTCTGCCCTAGATGTGTGTGTGGGGGGGGTATCACGGACACACACACTCCCAGCTCTCCAGCTGGACTCACCGCCCAGATCTCTGAGCCTTGAGTACAAGTCCTGCTGCACACACTCACACACACACATACAGACACACACACACAGACACACACACACGCAGACACACACACACGCAGACACATACACACGCAGACACATACACACGCAGACACACACACACACACAGTTCCTACCTTCCTGACAGCAGCTTCCATGCGGCCGCCGCCCCATTGCTCCAGGCATGCGGGCAGCGCCGTGGCCAGGCCGAAGTCGCTGATGGCGCAGCTCTGGTCCTCCCGCACCAGCACGTTCTGGCTGCTCAGGTCCCGGTGTGCCACGCTGGGTTTGTGCAGGCCTGGCACCGAGGAGACACGGATTAGGAAGGGTCCAGCTGTGTGCGTGTGGGGGGGGAGCCATTGTGCCCCTTAGTGCCACCAGAGGGCAAGAAGGGCTGAATCCTGGCCCCCCCACCCTACCCCTGGGATAGGCATGGAGAACGGGACATTGCAGAGACTGCACCAGCTCGGCTCATGGGCCTGGTGCACTGGACAGGCTGGTGGGGCATGAGGGACCCTTGGCTGTGATTGGCTAATGGAGGGGAGGACTGACGGGCCATGTGTCCTATCCCCACCTCCCATCTCCTGTGCTCCCCCTTGAGGATGGGCGAACTCGCCGCGCCGAGGCGGTGGGTGGGGCGAACTCGCCACATTGCGGCCGGCTGGGCACCAGGAGTGGGGGAAAGGGGGCTCGGGCAGGGCAAGGCGTTGCCCCAGGGGCCTGCTGCTCCCCCTGCAGGGCTCCAGGAGCCAGGGAGGCTCTTACCGTTGTGCCAGAGCTCCTCGTGCAGAAAGGCCAGCCCCCGGGCCAGCGACAGGGCCAGTCTGATGGTGGTGTCCCAGGTGCTGACGTGCTGGCTCAGGAAGTGTCTCAGGGAACCCTGCGGGCAGACAGAGCCCAGCTCAGTCGGACCCCAGGCCAGAATCACAGGGGCCCGTCAGATGCAGCCCTGACCCCGTGCAGTCTGCTCACCAGGACCCCATTCAGTTTGGCTGTGAAACTCCAAGTGGGGAGGGGGGCCCGGGTCCTTCCCCTGGCTGGATCCATCCCCCTGATGGGGAGCGATGGGATGATTCCCCAGCTGGACCCATCCCCCATCAGGAAGAGTTTTCTGAATACACTAAATTCTTTCTCTCCATATCTGAGAACAGGCAGAATCCCGGAGCAAAATCTCCTCCTTGCCCATGCACAGGTACTCAATCCCCACACAGTTCTGCACATGCCCAGCAGAGGGCAGTGGCATCCCCCCCCCCCCCCACTGCCCAGGGCTGGCTGCGGGGTGAGCACTTACCGCTGGGTAGAGCTGCAGCACCAACAGGCTCCCTTGTTCCCCGCGCACCCCTCCTCGCCCAGCCGCCAGGAGCCGGGCCACGTTGTCGTGGTTCATCAGGGGCAGGCTGTGCACGGACCACTCGGCTGCAAAGTGCTGGGAGCAGGCGTCGGGGAAGGCCTTGATTGCGACGGGCGTCTGGTGCAGGGTGCCCTGCCACACCACGGAGAAGCGCCCATCCTGGAGCACCTGCGGGGGACAAAGACAGCTAGGGTGACACTCTGACCTGCCTCCGGGCTGCCCTGGCACCGGGGGTAGGCAAGGGCAACCTGGGATGTAGAGGGGAGCACAGAACCTAGCCGTATCCTAGGTAGGGCACTGCTGCGGGGAAGCTCACAGCGCTAGTGTCCCAGCTGGGCACTGCTGCAGGGAAGCTCGCAGCGCTGTGGAGTCCATGGCCGGGCACTGGTGCAGGCATGCTTAGCAGCGTGGATACAATTTATTTTATTTTGTTTAACTCCCATGGGAGTTAGGTTCTTAACCTTTGAAAATACCTGTAGGCACCTATTAGCATCTTTAGATGCCTAAATACCTTTGAAAGGCTCCAGAATGACCAGAAACAATCCCTCAATTCACTAACGACAGATCATTCTCCCACTGTTGAATAAGCCAGTTAGTTTTGAATGCAAAATGCGTTTGGATAAACTTAGGGTTTGGGCCTCTTACGTATCCAGGGCATTTAAGGAGTTTTATTTCACTAATCAAAACGTTTTCAAATGCCGATTTTGTGCATTTTTACTGGAATGCCAATTTCCATCCAGATGCAGCTTGCGACAAATCACAAGTGACCAATCATCTGTTAGCAAATAAGAAACGTGTCCTTGGCCGTTTCCGAACATAATCCAAACTGTCAAAATTAAGATTCTCACTAAATAAATGCTAAGCTACATAACTGCTTAAATAAATGTGTATAGATATAACGCGTCCTCCGTTTAGCAAAGAGAAGGACCAAATTTAGAGAACAGGCTATATTTAGTAGCGAATCGACATGTTTGAATGGTCACCCACCAACCAGAACGAACCGTTGGGAAAAGAACTAAAAAATACAAATGCAAAATGCAATTAAAATCAGTGACTTTAGTCAAGGTTTCCTGCTTGGTGATTTAAATCAAGATTAAAATCCGTGCTTTAAATCAGTCCACCCTGAAGCTTGCAGCAGTGGAAATCCTGCCTGGCACTGCCCCAGGGAAGCTCGCAGCTCTTGAGCCCCCGCCTGGCACTGCCAGCACAAACACCTGCTTGCATGGGCCAAGACTGATCCGCCTCCTCCCGCAGCTCAACGGGGACATGCCAGGTGATGCTTGCTGTCCCCCCTGCAGAACCAGGCTGCAACCCACACGGACAGAGGCGAGACCGAGGCAAAGGCCAGTCCGTGCTGTCAGCCCCAACGCAGCCACCAAGTGAGACCTGGAGGAACTGGAGCGCGGGCAGCTCCTGGCTGGGGAGTTCCCTCTCACGGCTGGAATGGGGGTCTATGGTGACTTTGGTCAGCTCGCCGCTCTCCTCCTGGCACAGCAGCACTGCACAGACCTTCACCCTTCTCAGCACTGCGGAGAGAAAGCGAGAGAGATTCCCCCTGCAGTAACACAGGGGACTGGGCCGAACGCCCAACCACGGTGCAGTGCCCTGGGACTACCACACAGAGCTGCAGGGCCCACGGGCTGCTCAACATAAACCACCGGGGTGTGTGGTGGGGGGGTGGCGTGAGAGAGAACGTGTGTGGGTTTGTCACCAATCAACCCACGGCATGTGTGTGTATATAGACAGTCAGACAGACAGGGTGAGTCATACACTAACCCAGTATGTGTGTGTGTAGAGTGAGAGAGACAGACTGTGTGTGTACAGACAGACAGACAGACAGTGTATACACAGATAGTGTGGGTGTGTATGTATGTGTGAGTCAGACACAAACGCAGAGTGAGTGTGTGTGTGTGGAGAGAGAGAGAGACAGATGGTTTGTACATAGATAGACAGTGTGGGTGTGTATGTTTGTGTGTCATACACCAACTCAGTTTGTATGTGTGTATATAGAGAGACAAACAGACTGTGTGTTTAGAGAGAGACAGACTGTGTATACAGACATCCAGACTCTGAGTGTGTGTGCATGTGTGTGTGTATATAGAGAGAGACGGACAGACGATGTGGCGTGTGGAGACAGATTGTGTAGACAGACAGACAGACGAACTGTGTGGGTGTGTGCGTGTTTCTGTGAATTGTACACCAACCCAGTTTGTGTGCGTATAGAAAGACAAACAGATCGTGTGTGTGTGTGTAGAGAGAGATAGACTGTGTGTGTTGACAGACCCTCTGTGTGTGTGTGTGTGTGTGTGTGTGTAGAGAGACAGCCTGTGAATACAGACAAACCACGTGTGTGTGTGTGTGTAGAGAGAGACAGACTGTGAATATGGACAGACCACATATGTGTGTGTGTGTGTGTGTGTGTAGAGAGAGACAGACTGTGTGTGTTGACAGACCCTGTCTGTGTGTGTGTGTGTGTGTGTGTGTGTGTGTGTGTGTGTGTGTGAATCGTACACCAACCCAGTGTGTGTGTGTGTCAGGCTGTGCGTGTACCTGCGTGTGAGGCAGAGGCAGGGACTGAGGGGAGAGGGACAGGGAGTCTAATAAATACTAAGAACCCCCCCAGCACCCCAAGCCCTGTGATTTTAACAGGCCGCTTGAGCTGAAGGGGGGTCCCCACTGGGGCTATCGGCGTTGGGCCTTGGTCAGAATTCCAGCTGCGCCCACTAGAGGGCAACCTGGGTCCAGACTGGCGCAGCAGCCCTGATGCTGCCTCCAGCAGAGGGCAGCGGCGTCCATGGGCAATTAACTGGCTTCGTGCCCCTGGCCAGGGCGCCCCCTGCTGGCTGGGACCAGGGACCACAGCCACATTACAGAGCCACTCCTTCCTTCACACGACTGGGGCTTGTGCTAATAGGGCCCAGGTTCCATGGCTGGGACGACCAGGAGACCCGTGATGGGGGGCAGAGGGTGACATCTCAAACCCCATATTCCCCGCTGGGCCGAGTGCCTGGAGGAGCCGGGCGGGGGGCGGGGAGGCCATACCTAGGAAGGCCAGACAGCTGAGGAAGAACAGCAGTGAGCAGGCCACGGCGATCCAGGTGGTGCCCGTCGGAGCAGACCCAGCCGAGGCTGCGGACAAGGCGGGGGGGGGGAGGCCGAACTGAGGACTCAGCCCCAGACACGGCCCGGGGTTAGATGAAAAGGACGCCCAGGATACTGCTCCCGCTGGGGCGTTGGGATCCAGCCGTCGCCGGCTTGCCCCCTTGGGTGCGCCCCCCGGCACCAGGTCCACCCCCGCGCTAAATGTCCTGAGCAACAGCGCTCCCAGCCACTCCCTGGGGGCACCATTCCCAGCCGGACCTGTCCCCCCCCCTCCCCCGTCAGGGAACGGGGGCCCCCTAGCCTGTCCCCTGGGGGGCAATTCCTCACCCGGATGCGGCGTGTCGGGGTGCCCACCACCCCCAATGTTCAGCCTAAGTGACCCTTTTCTTAATCAACTCCCATGACCCCTCCCGTCTCCTCGGGGCCCAGTGACCACCTCTCCCAACTAGCCACTAGCCAGCCCCCTCCTGGAGCAGAGAGGCTGAGGAACCGGACGGGGGCTGCCGGAGCCCCTCACATCTGGCCCTCGCTCCCCGTCCCGCCCATGGAATGCTCCTCTGCTCGAGTTTTAATTAAACTCCAGGAGAAAGGACGGCTTCCCCCCCACACACACACTTCTGTCAGCTGCCAACATTCCTGTATCCTCCCTATGCTGCAGCCCATCAAAGCCGGTGGGGTGGGGAGCTGGGTCGCGGCACTACAAAGCTAGGTGGGGGGGACCCAAGCCAGCCCCAGGAGCAGGGCACTCAGATCCTGGCCTGGCCAATTCCAGCTCGGCATCCTTCCTGGCAGATGCCAAGATAGTCTCCTTGCAGGGAGTGGAGTCTAGTGGTCAGAGCAGGGGGCTGGGAGTCAGGACTCCTGGGTTCTGGGGAAGGGAGTTGGGTCTAGTGGTTAGTGCAGGGGAGCTGCATCTCGGGGCAAGGCACAGGGGGCTCGTCCCGTCCCTTTCTCTCCAGCCCGCGAAGTGGGGTCTGCGACTAAGTGCTTCCTCCTGCTGCAGGAATGAATGAACCGGAGATGAGAGGGAAGCAGCGGGATGGAGGGGTGCAGGGAGAGCCGAGGGAATTACCCCTCCTTTGCTGCACTGTGCCACCCTCCACTGCCCCTTTGCCCCCGCTGCGCCCTGCTGCCCTGTGCTGGGGGATGAGGCTCCAGAGGTCCCCGACCCCTGTTTTGCTCACAGCCCTCCCCCCCCCCCCGAGATCTAACATACTGGAATCAGACTGGCCCTGGCTACAGCATCAAAGACCTCAGGGGCCAGAGCTCGATCCCTGATCTCTTCCCTGCCCTAGGCGCTCTCACTGGGGAGCCAGGCAGAGGCTCGGCCAGGGGTCCAGCACGGGGCCCTCGTGCCTGATCAGGGCAAACCGAGGCCAGGAGCCCACACCAGGGGGTCAGGGTTTGGCACCGTAGGAGCAGCCACTCAGAGCACAGCCCCCCTCCCTGTGCTGAGCCCTCTGGGTCAGCCCCCCATCCCGCAGCCCTGGCCCTGGGATAGAGTAAGAATCAGGATTTGAACCCCCACTCCCCGGCTTTAACTACTATACACCACTTCCACCCGAGCTGGGCATAGAACCCAGGAGTCCTGGCTCCCCATCCCCCGGCTCTAACTACTACACCATTCTTGCCACCCTCAGAGCTGGGCATAGAACCCAGGAGTCCTGGCTCCCTATCCCCCGGCTCTAACCCACTAAACCACACTCCTCCCCCAAACTGGGTACAGAACCCAGGCATCCTGGCTCCCTCCACTAGACCCCACTCCCCACAGAAAGTCCAGCAGCCCCACGTGGCAGCTGCTCGGCAGGACGCGACATGGGCAGCATCGCTGGGTCAGACCTGGTCCCGCCAGCCCAGCCCGGTCCCGTGTGAGCGCCGGGTTCCCCTGCCTCCCAGCTGCTTATCAGGGTGACTCAGAGCTCTGGCGCTCGCACTCCCCTGCCTGGCTCGCCTCCCCAAGGTCTGTGGGGCAGCGTCCAGGCCAGAACATCCAGATAGCCAGGGTCTCCCCCAGGACTGCGCACCTGCTGGAGGGCGGGGAGAGGAGAGCCCGGCCTTCATGGGTCGTGGGGGGGGGGGGGGGGTTACACG